AGCTAACGTTATTTGTGCTGACTGATCATGGTGACCTGGCAGGGTTTTATTAAACAGTGTGTAAGTTGTGTGAAGTTGTGACAAGACTTACTGTAAGTTTGTCATATAAAAAATAAAAGCACAGCAACAGATCGACAGTTTGAGCTGAAACACGTTTAATTGTTAATATGCTTATATCTTCAGGGCTGTACAGTGCGACATAAATGTCGCACGTGTTATGAAAAAAACTGTCTGTGCTATAAAAGAAAAAGACTTTGTAGCACTGGTGCGACAGCTTTGGAAGCCACTTTTTTTTTCTGTCCATCCGAAATTTTTGTAATGCATTAAATTCCCGCATACAATAAATTGTAGCGTTGCGTAATGTAGACGTCAGATTCGGACTGTTTTAAACAAAAACCCATGGCTGGCTGGCAGGCACTTCCCCCGCCCGCAACAGACCTGTCAAGAGCTTTGAGACTTTAACCGTACCTCCCAAAAATAACTTAAATGCACCATCTGTGTTTTACCGAAAACATTAAGATGTAACATAGTAATTAAAAATTCACATATATGTAAATTTTTTATAATTGAATCTGAGCTGTATAAATCTGTTTTTTTAAATCAAATAAGTAGGTCTTTGTGTTATTCTCTGAAGAAGCTCTCAGTCTTAAAAAGGTTGGTGAATCTTGTCCTACAACAATACTCACCATATTATTCACCATTCTGGCTTTTGGGTTTAGAGATTTAAAGGCATTTTATGCTGGTGCTACAACTTTTTGTTCTGCGCTACAAGATCAGCAACCTCTGTAGCACCGGTGCTATGAGCTAAACAATTTAACGTACAGCCCTGATCTTAGTTTAAATGATACTTGGAGTAAATGTTTCAAGTTTAAAAGTATTTATAGAAGACAGCTGGGGKKTTTTTATTATTGTTTGCTGCTGCTTTTTATGACTTTAGCCTTTATTATACTGTCATATTTGTTTGTAGCTAAGCAGTCAAGACTAAATCTTTTATTGCCTAAATGGGAGCCCTGCACCAACCTRAAATCAGTCTTAAAATAATTTCTTGTTACAATTAACAAGTGAACTCTACAAAACTCAATTGCAACACCCAAATGTTTATATTACCCATTTTGCTTACTAATTTCTAACAAAAAACGACATTCAATTTTCCAATCCGTAACAATAAATTTACAGCATTTAGATTGTTCAGTGATGGTTAAAAATGATTCAGTGACAGAGTGCTTTTAATTAATGCCTCCTCAAGCCTTACAACATAAATACAAACAAGTGGAGTTTAAAATGCATTAATTAATACAACTGATATTGTAATTTTACTTTGATTGCAGCAGGGTCATCAAGCAGGTATATATTACCTTCACAATATTAAATAATTGTATTTCTCATAAAATAAGCTTAAATAATTACTGCAGAACAGGACAATTTTTTAATATCCAATTACTCGATTAATCGTCAGAATAATCTATAGATTAATCGATTACTAAAATAATCATTAGCTGCAGCCCTACTTTCGTCCTGGGCATGGACCAGATCTTTATCCTTGCAGAGTTGCTAAKGGGGTCGTGGGAGTTAGCCTCTCCGGTGTACATACGTTTTGTAGATGTGGAGAAGGCTTATTCCTTGAGGAATTCTGGCGGGGGTACGGCGGGAGTATTGAGTGCCCGAGTTGCTACTAAGAGTGATCCGGTCTCTACATAACCAAAGCAGGAGCTGTGTTTGCATTCTTGGCACAAAGTTGAGTTTGTTCTCAGTGCATGTTGGTCTCTGCCAGGGCTGTCCCTTGTCTCCCATCTTGTTTGTAGTGTTTATGGACAGAATCTCCAGGCGCTGTTGTGGAGAGGACGGTGTCTGGTTTGGGAACCGCATGGTCTCATCTCTGCTGTATGCAGATGATGTGGTTATTTTGGCATCTTCAGTCCAAGACCTTCAGTGTGCACTGGGGTGGTTCGCAGCCAAGTGTGAAGTGACTGGGATGAAAGTCATTTCCTCTTAAGTCTGAGGCCATAGTTCTCGACCAGAAAAGGGTGGAATGCCCCCTCCGGGTCAGTGGAGAGTCTTTGCCTGAAGCGGAGGACTTTAGGTATCTAGGTGTCTTATTCACAAGTGATGGTAAAATGGAGCAGGAGATGGATCTACGGATTGGGGCCTTGTCCTCAATATTGAGGGCGTTGCCTCGGTCACGCATGGTGAAGAAAGAGCTGAGTCGAAAGGTWAAGCTCTCGATTTACAACCCTCACCTGTGGTCATGAGGCATGGATCGTGACTGAAAGAACRAGGTTCCGGATACAAGCGACCAAAATGAACTTCCTTCGTAGGGTGGCCGGGCTCAGCCTTAGAGATTTGGTGAGGAGCTCCGTCAGCAGAGGGGAGCTYGGAGTAGAGCCTCTGCTCCTCCACATTGAAAGGAGTCAGTTAGGACAATTAGGATGCCTCCTGGATGCCTTCCTTTTAGAGGTGATCCGGGCACTTCCCACTGGTAGGAGTCCCCGGGGAAGACCCAGGACTTGCTAGGGGTGTAAGAAAATATCGATACACTGAAATATTGCGATATTTCATTTCCCGATACTGTATCGATATTCTAAAGCCCTGTATCGATTTTTAATTAAGGTTTAAAATGTCAACTTTCCTKCCAGCCRTTCATTTTTATGTTGTAGTTCAGCCTCTGACCACTAGTTGGCAGCAGTGAGCCAGACATTTGGCTCCTCTACCTCTTGAGCGCCAGAGAGTAAGGGTAGCATTAGCATTGTAAGTAAACATTAGCTTTTCTTTTTTTTTTCCCGTAAGAGGTTTTTATTTAATAGAATTTTTGGACAAAAAAAATCGCAATATATTGCCTTGCTTATAGTATCGCAATATATCGGGATATATCGTATCGTGACCCCTCTGTTATGATATGCATCGTATCGCCAAATTCTTGCCAATACACAGCCCTAGGACTCGCTGGAGGGATTATATATCCTCTTTGGCCTGGGGAACGCCTCGGGGTGTCTGGGTTTCTCTCCTGGACCTATTGCCTCAGCGACCCAASTACGGATAAACAGAAGAAGATGAAGGTGGGTTTAGGTTTAGGGTAAGGTCTCAGGGTTAGGCTGTAGAAACAAGTGGAAATGAATGGAAGGCAGTGAATGAAACTTGCAGAAAGTGCTCTACACCTGGTTGACTTTTGGAGTTAGTTTCATTGAAAATGACTGCCATAGACACACATGGACAAAATTGTTGGTACCCCTCGTTTAACCCACAATGGTCACAAAGGTAACTAAAATCTGACAAAAGTAATAAATAAAAATTCTAAAATGAACAAATGAAAGTCAGGCATTGCTTTTAAACCATGCTTCAAAAGAATTACAGAATACAGTGACATCATTTCTCAGCTGTAGTTAATTTAAATGTAAAGGTGTGGTTTTAAAGGCCCAGAATGAATTCTAACATGAATAAAGCTGTTTGTTTTTCTGTTGGTTCCACACACACACAGAGGGGCCACCATAATGTTAGAGATGTGTTTTAGAAGGACCTAACAGGATGTCATTCCAACATGTCTTACTGTGTTGCAGGCATTAAGACTGCATTTGTGAAGCAGCACTCGGACACTGCCTTTATTGCAGCCCACTGTGACATGATCCCCATTGAGTGGGTGTGTCGCAGAGTGGCCACCGGGTCCTTCCTGAAGAGGAACCCAGGCGTCAAAGAGGGCTACCGTTTCTCCCCCCTGAAGATGGAAATGTTCTTCAAAGTGAGTTTTGGATGGATGACATCCAGTCACATGTTCTAAGCCTGTTCACATGAGTCGGGGTCGACATAATGTCCTTTGTCTAGACAACCCTGTTTGTTTTTGTTTGTTTTGAACTACCAGATCTGGCTTCCTGGTTGACCAGTGGATGTGGCAAGTTAAAAAAAAAAAAAAAAAACTAGATTAAAGTTCTCTGCCTCAAACCCCTTGCAAATATTATGGAATCGCCGGCCTTGGAGGATTCAGCTGTTTAGTTTTGTAGAAAAAAAAGCAGATCAGACATGACCCAAAACTAAAGTCATTTCAAATGGCAACTTTCTGGCTTTAAGAAACTAAAAGAAATCAAGAAAATAAATGTGGTAGTCAGTAACTGTTAATTTTTTAGACCAAGCAGAGGGTAAAAATGATGGAATTACACAATTCTGAGGAAATAATTATGRAATCCTTGAAAGTTTGTGAATTAGAAAAAAATTTCAAGGTCCTGGAAAGTTTGTGACAACAGCCAAAAATTACACTTGTTCTTGAAAGTTCTTGAATGTTATTTTGGGGATTGAAGTTCTCTATTCACACAACTGATTTTCATCGTCTTTTAAAAAAAATGATAAAATTTAATTAAAAAACTTACATTTGTTGCGGTGGATAACTCAGGATTACGGTAAACTGATGTCATTGTTTCTGACTCAACAACTTCTATGTTCAGTTTTTCATTGAATTTACATGATATTAGACCTATTTATTGGTAACATTCTGCAGTAGGTAACTGCCGTTGCACGTGGTTCTTTAATTTGAGGAAATTGGTACTGGAAAGTCCTTGAAAGGTCCTTGAATTTGATGTTTGTGGGAACCCTGAGATAAGTAGAAGATGGAGATGGAAACACAGTGTCTGTTGGCAGTTACTGCCTGCAGTCTTGGAATAATGGACATCACCAAAGACTTTTCCGCCATGTATTAGAAATAAACATTTTATTTACAAATATTTAATTTGTCCAATTACTTTTGAGCTCCTGAAATAAAGGCCTTGTTTTTTAAATAAATGCTTTTAGTTCCTCATATTTCTATTMAATCATTTGTTCAACCCACAGAATTAAAGCTGAGAGTCTGAATTTCAACTGTATTTGAAATGCTTTGTTAAAATTCATACAGAATCAAAATTAGGGAAAATGTTATCTCTGTCGAAATACATATGGACCCAACTGTAACTTTGTATGCAAAACAGTTACACCAATTGAATTTTTCCTGAGATTTTTTTTTTGTGAAGGACAACCAAAGATTTTGATGGACAACCAGATTTTTTAAACCAAATTTCCTTATGTCTACCCCTGTGAGTGACTGTTGTGTTTTCAGGACGATGCCAACAATGATCCTCAGTGGTCAGAAGAGCAGATTCTGGCTGCTAACTTCTCTCTGGCCGGCCTCACCATTGGTCAGTGTGAGGTGGATATCATGAATCGCAGCACGGTGGCCATCTTTGAGATTCTGGAGAAGGCTTGGGCCACTCAGAACTGCACCCTGGTGGACATGAAGGTATGTCGGCTAACCTGCTGCTTCGTGTCGGTTAGCAAAATATCAGAGTTCGATTAACCTTTCAGGGAGTAATCACTGCTTGTACATCTACAATTGATTAACTTTGTCATTCCAATTGAAGATGGTCGCCACAGCTAATTAGCATTAAGACAAATGCAGCAGGTTCTGAGTTGGTTTGATTGAAGTTAAGGTGGTAGTAGCTGAGCCTCGTCCTTACATCTGACCTGACATTGTGAAGAACCTAAAAGTGTCCAGCTGTCACTTCTCATCACGAGCTGATGTTTAAAACCAGGGTTCGACAAATCCTATTGCCCGACTGCCCGGGGCAGGTAAAACTTATATTCAAGCAGGTGGGTGTGTCCCGATGTCTGCCCGACCAGGCAGGTAAACAATTTCTTTAGTTTTCATAGAGCCATTTATTCTAAATATTTAGAAAAAAGATGAAGAAATATAGTGTTTTAAAACACGTAAAGAGAGGGTAAATCCTCAAAATTTCCCCTCCCGCTGTAGAAGAGTGACGTTGTGCTGTCATCCCTCCTGAAGCTTTAACAACCGTAGTTTTTTTTCACACCCAAGATGTCGGAGAAAAAACTTGTTTTTTATGTGTTGTTACCCACAGGGATGATAAAAAAAAAGATGGGGACGTTCGATCAGTCATAAATCCATCTTGCTAATGAGCGCTGAGCAGCAGTGGGTCAGTTCAACAGGCAGAAGCTCACTTTATGGCAGGCCAATATTGCATTTATTAGGCTTCACCACTCTTACATTCCAGTAATCTGAAATTGTTTTATGACTAAATGAGACACATTAGTTACTTCAGATAAAATAATAAAATGTTGTTGTTTAATTTTGTTTTGTTTTATTTACTTGTTTTTTTAAATTTGGAGATCTTTCCAGGTTGAGCTTGTTTGTTTATTGAAGTTGATTTTTGAAAATAAGGGGCACATATGATAGTTTTTTGCTTCACTTTGCACACTTTTAATTCAGGGTAGGGTTTACATTGTTTTTTAATAATGTTTTGTTCTTATGAATGATTGAAACAAATAAAGATATCTCTAATTTTTTCCTGATTAGTATAAATAACATTAGATTTATCATCATGTTGTWTGGAGACTCCAGTTCAAGATATCTTAAATGTATCTTTAGATATGAGATTCACTATATAAGATTTAATTAATGTAAATTTCAGACTTTTTCATGTTCTGTAAATTGTATTTAAAACAAAGCTGCTGCTGTTGATCATTCTGTTTTCATAAGCAGCCCTCACAAGACCAATACAGGAAACACTGGAAAGGTCTAAAAAAGTTTATTGAAGATGTTTTTGATAACAGAATTGACTGACAGCCATGTTAATATTTTTGTAGTACAAAATACAGTACACGTTTTTCTTATATTTTATCAAATTTTAACATTTCTTTTTCRGGCAGGTAACGTTTTATGTTGGGCAGGTAAAACATAAAAATCTTGACGAACCCCGTTTAAAACTCTGACATGATGGTGGTGACGAAATGTTTGACTGTTTTCAGATTGAGTTTGGTGTGAACGTAAAGACACAGGAGATTGTTCTTTCTGATGTCATCGACAACGATTCCTGGAGGCTGTGGCCCGCCGGAGATCGAAGGCAGCAGAAAGATAAACAGGTCAGAGCTTTTACTGACATCTGTTATTCTCTTGACTTTCAGTGAAACGTAAAGGGGTTAAAAGTGATTTTTGTCACTTTTCAGGTGTACAGAGACTTGAAAGAAGTCACTCCAGAAGCCATGCAAATGGTGAAGCGAAACTTTGAGTGGGTTTCTGAAAAGGTGCAGGTATGCTGAGTGTTTCATCTGAAGCTTCTTTGTTTTTAGTTTTCTGATTGCTCCAACAGAAATGTGTTCTTACACAAACTGAATGTGTGTTTGTAGCTGCTGCTGGAGCCACAGGCCAGGGGCCGGGTGGTGGTCCTGATGGGCTCCACATCAGACATGGCACACTGTGAAAAGATTAAGAAGGCCTGCTCCTCCTACGGGATCTCCTGCATCCTCAGGGTCACCTCAGCTCACAAGGGTCCTGATGAGACGCTCCGAATCAAAGCAGAATATGAAGGTGTGTCTTTTGAACAGCAGCTCTCTGCTGTAAAGTTTGATGTCCTGTCTTAATATTTGTGAGCCATCACATCGAAACGAGGATTAAGTCCAAAAGTGGAATGTGGAGAAACAGGCAGACATATGGTTTTGATTTAAACGTCTGCAAAATTTGCATTCTGTCAAAATCCATCCATCCATCCATCCATTTTCTTCCGCCTATCCGGGGTCGGGTCGCGGGGGCAGCAGCTTCAGAAGGGAGGCCCAGACCTCCCTCTCCCCAGCC